AAAAAAAAAAGAAAAGAAATCAAAGGAAAAAAAAAAGAAAGAAAGAAATCAAAGAGGCAGTAAGTGTATATTAATGAGGAAGGAACAACTTAGAAAAGTAGGATGACAATGGTTACACAACAAAATGTAATCAATGTCACTAAATTATACATGTAGAAACTGCTGAATTGATGTAACTTTGCCATATATATTCTCAACAATAACAAAATAAAATTTAAACAAAAAAATAGCAGAAACTGGGTGGAATACCTTTTTCTCAATTTTTCTGTAACTCTAAAACTATCCTAAAAAATAGTCTATTTTAAAAAAAGAAAGAAATCAAACAATGTATTGCATTAGGTAAATATGCTGCATAAGACCTCTAAAAAATGTTCAAAAGCAAAGACTGACTCATCGTAAGGACTAAGGTGCACTTGACCCAAGCCATGATATTTAATTTGCCTCATATGCATGTGAAAGCTGGACAGTGAATAAGGAAGGCTGAAGATGAATCAATGCCTTTGTATTATGGCGATGGCAAAGAATAATGAATATACCATGGCCTGCCAGAAAAAGAAACAAATCTGTCCTAGAAGAAGTACAGTCTGGATGCTTAGAAGTGAGGGCACTGAGACTTCGTCTCACATTATTTGGACATATTCTGAGGAGAGATGAGTTCCTGGAGAAGGACATCATAAAGCTGAGGGTCAGCAAAAAAGAGGAAGACCCTCAACAAGATGGACTGACACGGTGGCTGCAACAATGATAAAATACAGCCAACGATTGTGAGGATGACACAGGACCAGGCAGTGTTTCATTCTGTTTTACACAGGGTTGCTATGAGTCAGAACAGACTTGACAGCACCTAACAACAGTAGCATAGCGTTTACAGCATCTGGCTGCTAACCAAAAGATCGGTGGTTTGAACCCAGAAGCCATTCCATAGGAGAAAGATGAGACAGTCTGCCTCTGTAAAGACTTACAGACTTGGAAACCCTATGGGGGCAGTTTTACTCTCTCCTAAAGCGTCACTAGGAGTTGGAATCAACTCAATAGCACTGAGGATTTTTTGTTGTTAAACAAGAAAATAGAGGCATACCTCATTTTATTGCACTTTGCTTTATTGCACTTCACAGATATTGCACACCACTCCCACAACTGAAGGTCTGTGACAACCCTGCATCAAGCAAGTCCACTGGCACCATTTTTCCAACAGCATGGGCTCACTTCCTGTCTATGTCATATTTTGGTAATTCTCAATATTTCAAATTTTTTCATAATGCTATCACACACTTAACAGACTACAGTATAGTGTCAACATAATTTTAATATGCACTGGGAAACCAAAAAATTCCTGTGACTCACCTTATTGCAATATTTTTTACTGGAGTGGTCTGAAATCTAACCCACAATATCACCAAAGTATGCCTGCAATCTCAAAGCATCACCCCACAAATTACTTATTGCAAAGGGAGCAATAATAAATTTATGATAAAAAAATCTTGGCAGGCACCACCTTAACCAAGTAATCAAAGTTACCATCACCAGTAATGGGACAAAGCAACACATGTGCCCCTATTTGACACATTTTGAAAAGAACTTCACTTCCGTAAAGTTCTGCCAAAAATGCATCACCTGAATTGAATCACAAGGAAACATCAGATAAACTCAAACTGAAGAACATTCTATAAAGTAACTGTTCTGTAATGCATGCTTCAAAAATGTCCATGTACAATGTTTCTACAAGTGCATCTGTATGTTCTGTGAGAATTTCCAGGTATACAGTAGTGCTGACGAGACAAGGCTGTAGTCACTTCTTGGCCACAGCCAGCTATCCAGAGGGAGGAAGTAGTTGGACCTGTGGGCTCAGAACCACGGTCACAGGGGACATCAAGCTTAATTGGCATACTATGCAAAACATTGTTCCACCTCCTACTTTGGTGAGTAGCGACTGAGATCTTAAAAGTTAGCAAGCTGCCATCTAGATGCAATGATGGGTCTCTCCTCATCCAGACCAAAGAAGAATGAAGAAAACCAAAGACACATGGAAACAATTAGTCCAAGTGACTGGCACACCTTGAGATTCTCAGCCTATATGACTATGACACCAAAAGAACTAGATGGTGCCTGGCTACCACTGTCAACCACTTGGAGGGGGATCTCTGTAGGAGATCCTGGATAGAGTGGGGGAACAATGTGGAACAAAACGCAAAATCATTAAAAAAAAAAAAGAACCAGGTTTGCTGGTCTGATAGAGCCTGATGGAACCACTGAGTCTATGGCCCCTAGCTGCCCTTCAGGTCTGGAATCAAACCCATACCTGTGGCTTCCAGCCAAACAAAAGACAGGCATATGAGCTGAACATTTACATCAGGTAGATATACTCCTTGGAGAGATCAATCACAGGAGAATAGAAGGGCTGTGTATGCACAGGAAACAGCTCAGGGGGCTGGAGTGCACAGAAGGAAGGACACAGGGAAGAGATAACTATGGGGAGGAAATGGGAGGGGAGCTGTTGCATTGTGGGAAATTGCAGTCAATGTCATGAGACAAAGTGTATGTGAGCTGCTGTATGAAAAGTGAATCTGCTCTGTAAACCATCCAAATCACAATAAAAATTAAAAAAATAAAGTCTGTGTCATGAAATACAAAAAGACTAAGGAACAATTCCACATTAAAGGAGACTAAAGGCAACTGAATGCAATGCAGAAACAGCATTTTCTCTTGCTATAAAAGGCCACATCTAAATAAAGTCTATACAGTAGACTACAGTATGTGTCAATGTTAATTTCCTAATTTTTGATAACTGTACTGAGGTTATATAAGATATGTCCTTGTTTTTAAGAAACACACTCTAAAACATTCAAAGGCAAAGGTGCATCATGTTAACATACACTTAGGTGATTCAGAAAAGAGTAATACATAAAACAATACATAAAAACCTTTTATTC